ACCTGGGTTGGCCACATGCTCAATCCCCAGTAAGGGGTGTGCAGGAGGCAGCTGATCAATTCCTCTCTGAAATCAATAAAACATACATTTAAAAAAAAAACTAAAATTATACTTTTTTTTTTTTTTTTTTAGCATGGAGTAGAGGGTATAGGCAATGACTGCTTAAAATATATTTTTTACATTGTGAAGCTGTTCAGTGCTATTACATTTGTATTTAATTATAGCAGATATTTAAACTTTGCCTACGAGAAGTTCAAAAATTTCCTGTATGATTGATTTGAAAAGCACTATTTACATTAGCTTAATGCATGTTTTACTACAACTTTAGTATTTGTGGCATTTTTTTATTTAGGAAACTATTTTTTATGCTAAATTATTTAACAGCTTTTATCTTTGAAAGAGCAGGAGGAGTAGAACAACAAACGGAAAGGTTTTTTTAGGCTTAGTTATTTCAGGTTTTTAACAAAGTAATGTACATAGATTAAAAATTAATACTAATCCTTGCCCTAGCTGGTTTGGCTCACTGGATAGAGCGTCGGCCTGGGGACCGAAGGGTCTCAGGTTCGATTCCGGTCAAGGGCATGTACCTTGGTTGCGGGCACATCCTGAGTGGGGGGTGTGAAGGAGGCAGCTGATCGATGCTTCTCTCTCATCGATGTTTCTAACTCTCTATCCCTCTCCCTTCCTCTCTGCAAAAAATCAATAAAATTATTTTTTAAAAAATTAATACTAATCCACCCTGGCTGGTGTGGCTCACTTGTTTGGGTGCTGCCCGGTGCACCAAAAGGTTCCCGGTTTGATTCCTGGTCAGGTTACCACTCGATCCCTGGTCGGAGGCGTGCAGGAGGCAGCCAATCGATGTTTCACTCTCATATCAGTGTTTCTCTTTTTCCCTCTCCCTCTCTCTAAAAAGCAATAAAAAATTGTTTTAATCCTTTAAAAAAATTAATACTAATCTTAAAGGACTTGTAATAAACAGTGTTAGTTCCACGCTTTAAACTTCCCCGCTGCCAAGTCCTCCACAGAAGCATCTATTTTTAAATTTGAGCTGTTTTTAGCATGCATTAATCTTCACCTTTTTATTTATTTTTTTTAAATATATATTTTATTGAGTTTTTACAGAGAGGAAGGTAGAGGGATAGAGAGTTAGAAACATCGATGAGAGAGAAACATCGATCAGCTGCCTCCTGCACATCTCCCACTGGGGATGTGCCCGCAACCCAGGTACATGCCCTTGATCGGAATCGAACCTGGGACCCTTCAGTACGCAGGCCGACGCTCTATCCACTGAGCCAAACCGGTTTTGGCATAATCTTCACCTTTTTAAAAAAAAATTTTTTTATTGATTTCAGAAAGAGGGAGAGAAACATGAATAAGAGAAAACCGCCTGCAACCAAAGACACGTACCCTGACTGGGAATCAAACCCTGATCTATCACTAAGTTTTCCCAAAATCATAACAAAATTACAAAAGCACTCTGAAGGCTATTTTCTAAACAGTCTCAAATAGTGCACCTCCTCCTTTCCTGGAACTTGACTGGGGCTGTAGGCTGGACTGTGGCTCTCCAGGCCTTTTGCCCCTCTGGCATCTGAAACTCACTTTTCTCCTGAGTTAAAGCCTTTGTTTCCTGACTGCCATATCTAATTGCTTGGTTTGTTCCCTTATTTTGGAGTAGTACTTCTTTGACTAGCTTTCTCAGAAAGGATACATATAGGTAAGATTTTAAAGAAAATGTTTCATATTTAACGATACTACAGGATTTTAGGTTGTAAATCATCTTCCTTGAGAATTTTGAAGTCACTACCTTTTTTTTTTAATGAGATGACTTTTTAAAAAATATATTTTATTGATTTTTTACAGAGAGGAAGGGAGAGGGATAGAGTTAGAAACATCCATGAGAGAGAAGCATCAATCAGCTGCCTCCTGCACATCCCCTACTGAGGATGTGCCTGCAACCAAGGTATATGCCCTTGACCGGAATCGAACCTGGGACCCTTCAGTCTCCTGGCCGACGCTCTATCCAGTGAGCCAAACCAGCCAGGGCAAAGTCACTACTTCTTTTAACCTGCTATTTCTGATAACATCTTTGTATGTAACCCATTTTTCTGCTTCAGGAGATTTTGTTCTAAGTTTTTACCATGAAGTACCTTGGTGACGGTGCATATGTTTTAATTAGCTTTGGGTATTTGGTAGGCTGTTGTAGTCACAGACTCATTTCCTTCAGTTCTGGGCAATTCTTGTATTATTTAATAACCACACTCTCCCCCCCTGCCCCCCTAATATTTCTTTCTGGAATTCCAGCATTAATCATCTGTCTTATCTTTCTCTCCTGCTTACCATCTCTTTGCCTTTTGTTTTTAACTTTCTGAGAGAATTTTCTTGATTTGACCTCTGATCCTTTTTTCGAACGTATGTCAAGCATCACATTTTTAATTTTCAAAAGCTCATTCTTGTTTTCTGATCTCCCTTTTTACAGCCTTCTGTTCTTATTCACAAATTCAATATCTTTCCTGAGGTATTTATTGTAAGCGTTTTTTCTTGGTCAGTTCAGGCTGCCATAACAAAATACCATAGGCCAAGTGGTTTAATCAACAAATTTATTTCTCACAGTTCAGGGGCTCAAGTCCCAGGTCAAGATGCCAGCAAGTTAGGTTTTTTTCTGAAGCGTCTTGGTGTGTATGGGCTGTGACCTTGCTGTGTGTTTAGAGGACCCCCTCATTATATGAACACATAGGGAGAGAGCAATCTCTCTAGTGCAGCAGTTCTCAACCTGGGGGTCGAACGACCCTTTCACAGGGGTCACCTAAGACCATCGGAAAACACATATATAATTACATATTGTTTTTGTGATTAATCACTATGCTTTAATTATGTTCAATTTGTAACAATGAAAATACATCCTGCATATCAGATATTTACATTACAATTCATAACAGCAAGATTATAGTTATGAAGTAGCAACGAAAATAATTTTATGGTTGGGGGTCACCACAACATGAGGAACTGAATTAAAGGGTCGGGGCATTAGGAAGGCTGAGAACCACTGCTCTAGTGTCTCCTAAGGACAGTAACCAATCATGAGGCCCCACCCTCATGACCTCATCTAATGCTAATTACCGCCCAAAGGCTCCATCTTCAAATCCCAATACAGGACTTCAACATAAATTTTGGGAGATGTAAACATTCAAGCCGTAATAGGTCATTTTTTTCAGGTGTTTGTTTTTTTCCCCCCCAGTCTCAACTTGTGTATTTTTCCTTTATTTGTTTTTAAGTCACATACAGATTTTTTTTTACAGATGTCTAATGAATGCCCCAGATTAATGATGTTTCTGTAACAACACTAGTATAGCACTGGCACTGCGCTGAAGTACTGACTCGTTTACACAGTGATATTTCTCAGTTCTCATTTTGCTCCTAGGATTTTTTCCCTCCCTTTTTCTCTGGGTTCTCTCTCATGACTCCCAACTCCTTTATTCCACCATCTCTACACCTACCCTATCACCAGAATTTTCTCTCTCTGTCTCCTTCCTTTTGGTCACAATGGAAGATGTTCATCTCAGCAGCTAACCCAACCAAAAATCTGTTCTCCATCTTTCACCATCTCCCATGTCCTCAGGCCACTCTCACTTATCCCACCTCACCCTTCACACTCTCTCTCAACCTCAGCAAAACAAGCATATCTTCCTTTTAAAACAAACTTCCTCTGAGTTTTCTTAATTAAACTTCTGGAAAGAGGAGAACAGTTACTGTTTTCTTCTTCGTTAGCATGTCGTGTCTGTCCTCAACATGTTATTGAAACTACCCTTACCAACATCACCAATGTCTGCTGAATTCCAGGTGATTCTCAAACCATCAAAAAGATGACTCCCTGAACTGCTAGCCAGTGTGCTCACTGGTGTTTTTGAGAACTCCTGAAGTTCTACTTGTTATGAGACTTCATTGTGAAATAGAGCCCATTTATTCCTAGCTTTTAAAAAAATTATATGACCAGGCATTTATTTGAGCTAAGGTTCAGAATGTGATGTGTAGGTATCAAATTAGTAAGCTTTTAGTAGGGTTCTGCTTTCACCATTGAATACACAATATGCAAGCAACTATTGGAGGGGGGGAGTGGTGACAACAAGGGCAAATTCTTAAAAAGTTCTTCACAGTTTGTAATGTACATTGAATAACAGATTTGCCTTCCTGGTAATTCTGTTTAATCTTGAAGTGTTTTCGTTCTTTGAGCTTGTTAGCATGGACACCCAAAGGAGAAAGGCTTATCTAGGAATGTGCTAAGTAGCAGAGAAAGCCAGTTTGGCCTTAAAAAACAAATGTAGATTCTTTTTTTTTTTTTCTTTATTGAGTAAGGTATTACATGTGTCCTTATCCCCCCATTGTCCCCCCCCACCCCCACAATCATGCCCTCACCCCCTGTTGTCTGCGTCCATTGGTTATGCTTATATCAAATGTAGATTCTTTTTTTAAAAAATATATTTTTATTGATTTTTTACAGAGAGGAAGGGAGAGGGATAGAGAGTTAGAAACATCAATGAGAGAGAAACATCGATCAGCTGCTCCCTGCACATCTCCCACTGGGGATGCGCCCACAACCCAGGTACATGCCCTTGACCGGAATCGAACCTGGGACCCTTCAGTCCGCAAGCCGACGCTCTATCCACTGAGCCAAACCGGTTTTGGCTCAAATGTAGATTCTTGATCAGAGATTGAGTTGATGATTACCTATGTCTTTATAAAGAGATTTTTATCAACTCTATAATCCTGATTATAACAATTTTACTTATACATCTTTTAGAGAAAGAGACTAAAAAATTATATTTCTAGAAAAATATGTTCAGTAAATAAGTTACATGTAAATATTACTATTTATATATTCATTTTTCTTTTTTTAATTCCTCACCCGAGGGTATTTTTCCATTGATTTTCAGAAAAAGTGGGAGAGGGAAAGGCAGAGAGAAATATCAATGTGAGAGAAACACATCAATTGGTTGCCTCCTGCACACGCCCCAACCAGGGCCCTGGCCGGGGCGGAGCCTGCAACTGAGATACATGCCCTTGACTGGAATCAAACCTGAGCCAAACCGACTAGGGCTATATATTCTTTATATATATAACTTTGTAACTCAGGGGTTGATTATTTTGAAAGGAACAACACTTATGTGGATATATAATGTCTGTTATACTTGTTAAGAGCTACCTGTCACATTGCCTTATATCAATTCATCCAGTTTGGGTCCTTTAGCAGTTGAAAATATCTTGTTCTAGTTGTGTTGCCTTTAAAAAAACAAAAACAAAAAACACAATCAAAATGGAGTAACAGTACCATATACATCATGAAAGCATTGCCAAAAAATGTTTTTTCTCTTTCTTAATGAATTACTTCACTTTGACTTCTATATTTAAAAACAGAAATGTACCATTTTTACAAACTATTTTATCTGAGCCATAAGATAAAATAGCCATAAGCCAAAATGTTCAATTGGCAGGCCCAATTAAGGTTAAGGAATGTATAACAGTGCAATCTGATTCTGATTGCTTTATTGTCATTCAAATCTTTAAGGAGGTTTTAGTTGAAACTAAAACACATTTTAATCACAGTCAATATTCCTTACACTTCAGGATACTTTTAAGTTTTTTTGCTAATAACTGTTGAAGAGCTTTGTTTTTCAAATAAACTAAAAATACCTCAACCATATGAGTTTCTACAAGACATTGTCACTATTTTGATGGCACTCGTTTTCTTGTCCAAGATGAAGGTGTCCCCGAAAAATAAGTTTAGACCATGGACTGGGAAATATGAATCAGCCACTTTCATATTACTTGCATTGTCAGCCAAGTAAATACTTTCTCACTTTCATCTATGCATATCTTGCTACTGATCCACTCAATTGTGTGCCTACTCTGTCCTGTTTTAGTATGTCTTTTTTTTTTTAATGACAAAGTACAGCTGACCCAAGGTATTATCTCATGAGGTTGAGTACTTGAGTTCTTGCTGCACATTTCTTCATCAGTAAGCATTGCAAGAAACTTTTTCCCCCCTTGGTTTTATATAGTCAGTTTGAACCTGGGGGCTTCTTCTAAATGAAAATAGGCTGTATAATTTTAAATCTTGCTGCCAGTGAGAGGACCAGTTATATTTTCAGTAACCATGCTATTTTAATAGAGTGTACTAAAAATTGAAATTGTTACTGTGAATTGGTTATTTTTTGTTTCTTTTGGGGGAGTGATAAAAGAGCCTGCATCATAGGGTAGTTTTTAGGGTCAAATGAATTAATTTCACATAAAATGTTTAGAATGGTGCCTAGCACAGAGTAAAGCATTTGATAAATGTGATCTATCATTGCTTACCTTTTTCATATACTATACCCATCGGACAGTCCTTTATGATAATCCAGTAGCATATGGAGAACTAAGAACACTGCACAGAGCTATTTGCCCTTTTTCCCACCTCTCACCTTTTAAAAAATGTATTCATAATTTATCTTAAGGAAGCGTATTGCGAATACTATATGAAGAAGGCGCCAATACATTCTTTTTCAGTAACATATGAATTTGCATATTTTATAGTATTGTATATCATACATAACTTGAAATATGAGACACTGTGCATTATAGGTTCATTTATTTTAATATGGAACTCTTCACGCACCTGTGTATCATCCTTGTGCGGGAACCATGCTAATCTCTATATTGTTCCAACTTCAGTCTATGTGCTGCAGAAGCGAGCAACATTATAGTTTAGTCATTTTCCTGAAGGGCATTTAAAAAGAAAAATATACTTTGGGTATTGGTTTATATATTCAGGGGATGGCAAAAGTAGGTTTATTATTATTTCATATCATTTATCTTTTAGGTGATGATGGCTGGTAATTTAACCAACAAAAGTGGGTACTTACACAATACCTAATTTTGCCCACCCCTGTATATTAATAAGTTTGATGTAACTAATAGGTACCCAAAAGAGACTGTAACCAAACGGGACTTATTTAACTCACACAAAAAGGAAGTCCAGTGTAGTCAACCTAGGCTTGTATTTTCACTCCGTCATTCTTAGCATGTAGGCCTATCTTGATGCCTGTTGCCACAAGATGCAAGATCACTGCTCCACCTCCATCCTCTTGTCCAGGTGTCAGGCAGGAAGAAGAGAGGATGACTAAAAGGCAAAAAGGAAAACGGAACAATGCCTACATCAAGAAAGTACGAGTTTTCCCAGAAACCCTCAACTTCATTGGTCAGAACTGCCATTTGATGCCTTCCCAGGCAAAAATCAGACTTGTTAGTAAAGAAGGGGGAATGGGTGCATAGTCTATAACAGTGGCCACCATAGCTTGCATGTGAAAACTGCACAATCTCAATTTCTATAGCTCTTACCGTCTTACTCCATTTGTGCTGTTATTACAGAGTACCATATACTGTGTGGCTTATAAACAACAGAAATTGATTTTTCACGGTATTGAGACTATGAAGGCCAAGATCAAGAAAGTGGTAAGATTTGGTGTTTGGTGAGAGCTGGCTTCCTGGCTGTAGGCTGCTGTGTTCTTCTCACATGGTGGAAGGGCAAAGGAGCTCTCTAAGGCACCCTCTTGACATAATCATCTCCCAAAGCCTCCCCCTCTTCATACTATCACATAGAGGGGTAGGTCTCAATATAGGAATACTGAAGGAGATAAAAACATCTATGGTATCCCCTAATATTTCTACAGGGCTTCCACATTTGTGTCTCCTTAGATACTGCATCGCTGACGGGTTAATGTGCTCCTTTTTAGAAGGAAGGAAAAGGGCCAGGGAGGTTAAGTAATTTGCTCAATATTACCCAGCTAGAATTTCAGCCTTTTTCATTACTCAACTCTTCTGAGTTAACTGGAAACAACTTTCAGTTTTCTAGGCCTGTAGCTGATTTTGAAGGAATGTTTACATAGCTTATGAAAACAAATGCAATTTAAATATAGCTGCAATGTTGCACATTTAGTAATCCATCAGTGGGAAGAGCCTGCTATAAATACTTGCTGTAGTGATTTAGCTTAATGGGGGGAGGCAGCCACCTAGAGCAAGAAAAGAAATGACCCACTTCACCAGAGCAAATGACCTTTCATGGCTTTTCCAAGCCCAAGTTCCCTCTAGAGGACACTGCTGCCACTGATAGTCTGAAAGATCCGGGTGAAGGTGAAAAGTGAAAAAGAAAACCAATTATTGCCAGTACCTTGCTATATTCAGGTTTGAACCACCATTCTGGAAGAATTTAGATAAAACAATTTGTTTTGAAATATCTGACCCCTAGCTCTTTTTAAAAAATATATTTTATTGATTTTTTTACAGAGAGGGAGAGGGTTAGAGAGTTAGAAACATCGATGAGAGAGAAACATTGATCAACTGCCTCCTGCACACCTCCTACTGGGGATGTGCCCACGACCAAGGTACATGCCCTTGACCGGAATCGAACCTGGGACCTTTCAGTCCACAGGCCGACACTCTATCCACTAAGCCAAACCACTTAGGGTTGACCCCTAGCTCTTGAGTCAGACTTGGTGTCAGCAAAGCCACATTCTTATAGGGAGAAAACAAGGTTAGGTATCTTCCTGACTTCCAAGTGCTCCAGAAGGCCCATGTCCCTGTAATCATTTTTATTCTATAAAATTTTCTTCAAGTACACAAGTAATACAAGAATACATTCTCATTTTTTTTTTAATTTCAGCAATTCAGATAAAAAGTATTCTCAATCCAAGTCCCTTTCCCAAAAGAAAACTTACCTTTTTCTATTACATCTAGATATTGTTATAAACACCAAGCAGTACTTGAAAGGTGTATGAAAATAAGTGATAATTAAAGCAAGTCACACTGTAGTCAGGTTTACTATTGTTTTGGTCTTCTTTATAGTCAATGCACACCCTTATTGCCTGCACGTGGGGCACAAGGCTCCTAGCACCCAACCCTTGGTATTCCATTGTACCTATCTCCACTCTACTTATAATTGAGTATGTCCAAAATTGAATTTATTTTCCACCATAATTAGCTAATGTATTTTCTAGCTGTCAGGATGTTGCATTATATTATTTGTCACTTTCCCCACAATTAGACTGAGGTCTTGCAAGGGAAAGACTACTGGTATGTCTGCATTCCAAAACAGTTCAGCCCTGGCTGGTGTGACTCAGTTGACTGGAGCACCAACCATACACCGATTTGATTCCACGTCTGGGCACATACCCAAGTTAGAGGTTTGATCCCCGCATATAGGCTGCAAACAATGGATGTTTCTCTCTCTGCCTCCCTTCCAATCTCTCTTAAATTAATATAAACATATCCTTGCGTGAGGATTAAAAAATGTTCAATGGGTGCTCTTCCTCTGGGGAGCAGGCCAGCGCCTGTCCCATCCCGTTACCTTTGGCCCCTTCTTTTGCCTCTGTGCTTTGTTTCCTGAGCCCATTTCTTCTAAGCTCACTTCTATGCTGCCTTTACAAATATAGATATACTAGAGGCCCGGTGCACAAAAATTTGTGCACTCGGGGGGGGGGGGGGTCCCTCAGCCCAGCCTGTGCCCTCTCGCAGTCTGGGACCCCTCAGGAGATAACGCCCTGCTGGCTTAGGCCTGCTCCCGGGTGGCAGAGGGCAGGCCCAATCCCTAGGTGCAGCCCCTGGTCAGGCTCAGAGCAGGGCCGACTGGGGAGTTGGGGCGCCACCCCCTGTCACGCACAGAGCAGGGCTGATCAGGGGGTTGAGGAGCTCCCCCCTGTCACTCACAGAGTAGGGCCAATAGGGGAGTTGGGGCACTGCCCCGTCACACACAGAGCAGGGTGGATCAGGGGGTTGGGGTGCCGCCACTGTCACACTCAGGGCAGGGCTGATGGAGAGGTTATGGCTCTACCCCGTCACACACAGAGCAGGGCGCGGGGGGGGGGGGGGGGGGCGCCGCACCTTGTCACACACAGAGCGGGGCTGATCAGGGGGGTTAGGTCGCTGCCCCCTGTCATGCTGATCCCGGTACCGGGAGGCCTCGCTGCTCCGCTGATCCCGGTGCTGGGAGGCATATTACCCTTTTACTATATAGGATAGAAGCCTGGTGCACGGGTGGGGGCCGGCTGGTTTGCCCTGAAGGGTGTCCTGGATCAGGGTGGGGGTCCCCACTGGGGTGCCTGGCCAGCCTGGGTGAGGGGATGATGGCTGTTTGCAGCTGGTCATACACCCTTCAGGGTGGGGGTCCCCTCTGGGGTGCCTGGTCAGCCTGGGTGAGGGGCTGAGGGCCGTTTTCAGGCTGCCGGGTGACTGAAGCTCCCAACCTGTCCTTTTTTCCTTTTTTTTAAATTCTGGGCCAGCTTTAGCTCTGAGGCTTGGCTCCAGCTATGAGACTTCCACTGCTGAAAGCAGGTTTCTGGCCTTTGTTTACCCTTCTGTATTTGAAACAATGTTGCGGTCCTGCTGGCTGAAGCCCGGGGTTTTGCTTAGCTTCTATTTTTGTAACATAGTTGCTTAGAGTGCAGCTGAGAGGCCGGCAAGGGAGGTGGGGAAGCTTGGCTTCCTCCGTCACTAAAGCAAGCAAGCCTCATGTTAGCTTCCAGCTGCCTGGCTGCCAGCTGCCATCTTGGCTCTCAGTTAATTTGCATATTTCCCTGATTAGCCAATGGGAAGGGTAGTGGTCATACACTAATTACCATTTTTCTCTTTTATTAGATAGGACTAGAGGCCTGGTGCACAAAATTGTGCACTGGTGTGTGTGTGTGTGTGTGTGTGTGTGTGTGTGTGTGTATGTCCCTCAGCCCGGCCTGCACCCCCTTGCAGTCTGGGAGCCCTCAGGGGATGTCCTGCGGGGAGCGGGCCTGACATCCTTACTGCTGCCACGGACATGGGAGAGGATCCGGCCACCGCCACTGCGCTGGCCAGCGATGAGCTAGCTTCTGGCTGAGCGGTGCTCCCCCTGTGGGAGTGCACTGACCACCAGGGGGCAGCTCCTGCATTGAGCCTCTGCCCCCTGGTCGTTAGTGTGTGTCACAATGACCGGTGGTCTGCCATTTGGCCAATTTGCATATTACCCTTTTATTATATAGGACTAGAGGCCCAACGCAGGATTAAATCATGTGGGTTCCCAGGCCTAGCTGCAATCAGGGCCATGTCCACTGCCCAGCGTCACTCCTCCATCTCCATGGCCCCTGCCCCATGAACCTCCACGCTCACAGCCCCTGCCCCGCAAGGCTCCTTGGCCTCTGCTGCCCACCCCCCCACCCCATCCTCTTCTGCCTCAGCCGCCCAGCAAAGCTCCACACTCACAGCCCCCGACCTGCTCCTCCGCCTCAGCCACCCTGGGAAGCTCCACACTGACCCATCCTGCCAGGCTCCTCAGCCTCCACAGCCCCACCCCGCCATGCCTGTGAGCCCACAGCCCCCTCCTCTCGGCCTACACGGTGCAGGTGGCTGGGGGCCCACAGATCCTGCTCCCTCAGCTCCCTAGCCTGGTGTTTGGTGGCCCGTCTGGTCATTTCGGATGTTACAGACCCTGGCTCTTTAAATACAGAGATAGCCATGTATAGATATATGTCTATATGTAGATATGTAGATGTTGACTTCAGAGAGGGAGAGATGACACATCAATGAGAATCATTCATCGGCTGCCTCCTGCACGCCCCCTACAGGGGATGAAGCGGGAAACCGAGGCTTGTGCCCTGATGGGAATCAACGGTGACCTGGTTCATAGACCAACACTCAACCACTGAGCCACACCAACCACCCCGCTACCTCCGACTTGCTAGATACATTTTCTCTTATAATTCGGAGGAAAAAAAAATGTTCAGTGAATAGTGCTGCTACCTACCAGGCTGATGTCACTTTCCTCTCTCGTCTGAAAGAGCAACAGAGTTACTGCACAGACTTAGCACTTGTAGCCCAGTCACTATTTGGTGCGGGGGCGACTACAGTGCATGCGTCCGGGCTCTGTCCGCCAGTGACATTGTTCTCAGGTGAGGAGGCCGCGCCATGGGAGAACCAGAAGGAAAGCCTGAGAGCAGGAAGGCCTTGAACTTAGCAAAAGGGATTAGCGGAGGGAGGGACCATAGGGTAGTGGCGGTCGGCCCTAGCCTTCTAAGGTAAACATTTCAGAGGGGCTGAACAGAAGTCTCAACCCCGCTTTGTAGAGCCGCTGCAATCTCGGCGTCTCAGTTTCCACTAGTCCTCCCGCACGCGGAAGGGGGCGCCGGCCGGGCCGGGCCGGGCCGTGGGAGCGCGAGTCCAGGCGGGCACAGCGCCGCGCAGCCGCCAAACGTCCCGGGGGCGGGGCGCGCACGCCGCCAGAAGCGCCGGGAGGCGGAGCCACGCCCCCTGCGCCGGCGTCACTGCCTCCCCCACCGCACGCTGCGCAGGCGGCGCTGAGGCGGAAGGGCAAGGTAGGAGGTGACGATGAAAGCGAGCGCCGGCACCCGCCGCGGTTCCGAGGGAAGCTCAGCGGCCGTGGGCGCCGGGAGCAGGCCGGACACCTCGCTGACGGGCCGTCCCTAGAGCTGGCGAGGGCGGGGCCGCAGAGCGAGCTGCCGCAGTGTCTGGGCCCGCGGCGGGCCGGGTGAGGACTGCGGGGGACCGAGGTAAGCGGGAGCCGGGGTGTCCATTCGGCCGAATGACAGCCCCCTGGCCCTTCCCGCACCCGTGCGCGCCAGCTCAGCGCCCCAGCTCAGCGCCCCGGCCTGGAGGCCTCGAGCGCTGCCCTCCTCCCACGTCCGCCACGGAGGCAGCGGATCTCCTGGGGCCGCTGCTGTACCTTTCTCGGGGCGGGAGGGAGCTCGGCTCTAGGGACCGCTGCCCTCCTGTTTCTTTCCAGTTCGAGCTGTTCGACGCAGAAGCAGAAAAAACTAGCGCCCCCGGCAGCTCCTCATGAAGGTAGGGAAAGCGCTGAGAGAAAGAATTGCTGTTAGGGGGCCTCCAGCCCATGCCGTCTTCAAAGTCAAGGGTTTTTATTTATTCGGACAGTTCTGCTTCTTTCCTGCCTTGGGTCCCCCCCCCCCCCCACACACACACTCCTGGGACCCTGTGGTAGTGGACGTGCACGGCACACTTGCACATTAGGGCGGTGGGAACGTGATTTCCTGTTCTGCCTGTAAGGGCAGCAGCCACCCCAGTTCCGCTGTCTGGCCACGCTGCTGGGGGTGGAGGGATGCGGAAGAGGGTGTGAGAAGCGCCTGCCGTTTGGTCGCGGTTTTCGTCTCGTGCTAGACATTTGGACATTATTGGCTGCATGTGAAGTGGAGCTTTCTTAGAGGACCTGTGTAAATTCGTAGTAAGAATTAAACGGAATGAAGCAAGTGGAACGTTAAATGGATAATGAAATGTTGGGGGGGGGGGGGGAAGAGAGTCTAGTTACACTCGGTTTAAGAATATCCGGGACATAGATGTAGGTCCCTAATGATGCCTTTTGTCCAGAAGAACGAAGCTTAGTAGGGAGAGGGGTGCCCGAGGAGATGCTAGGATCTTGTGTGGTTAGAGCCTGCTTTGGGCTGGCGGGCATTTAGGAAGACGTCAGAGTCTCCTGGTCACCCAGATGCCTCGTGCTTATTCGTGAAACATTATTAGTGTATGAAGAATGACCCAAACCACTTTCGCCCCTTACTCAGAATAACCTTACCCCCCCCCCCCCACCTCCCCTGCTCTTTCTAGGAGGAAACTGGAAGGGGTGTCATTTAGGAGGAATTGTTTGCACGTGTTTCAGAGGACCCCCTCACTCTGCTTCTAAAACATTTCATGTTAATTGAAAATGTGCAGATAATAAATACAGGAATTTGAATCCTTTGAGTGCCTTGGCATTACAGTTCTAAGTCTGTCTGAGGAGGTGCCTTTCTCTGTATTGGAGAGAAGAACATTCACTGCTGTGAGATTTAATAGACCCGAAGTTAGAGAAGTATTTGGGGAGGAGGGAGGGGAGATCCAGTCAGTGGCTTGAGTGAGTAGTCCCAGTTCTTATAATTGTTTGCCCAGACAAAGTAAGAATGCTTTCTTTCCCTGGTGGGATATGATGATGGAGGCCGTGCAGTATGTAACCAAGCGCTATCTTCAGTGCTTTTGACAGCGTTGTCAATTTGGAACTTTAAGACATGGATAAGAAGTGGACATTGAAGGTCATCCATCCAGTGGTTCCAAAACCTGGACATCAGATAGTTGGGAATTCAAACCAAACCCCACATGCCTGGACACTACTTCAGTGGATCTGAAGAGGAACCTGGGTATTTGTAGTTTTTAAAAAGCTTCTCAAGTGACTCAAGGTTTGAAAACACAGATGTAGATCAGGTTTCACACTTTAGTTTATTAACAGACTCAAAGATGAGTGTCATGCCCAAATAATTTGTTGTTTTCTTAATATCTTTCTCTTTCTCTTCCTTTCCTTAAGGATCTCACTTGAATCAATAGTACTATTTCAGGTTTTGTAGTGCCTTGAGCCCAGAACTTACAAACAAGTTATTTAAGTCAGTATGTGTAATTTAGTTTTTATAGCTTTCTTTTTTTTATTTAGTATATTTTATTGATTTTTTACAGAGAGGAAGGGAGAGAGATAGAGAGCTAGAAACATCGATGAGAGAGAAACATTGACCAGTTGCCTCCTGCACATCTCCTACTGGGGATGTGCCCGCAACCCAGGTACATGCCCTTGACAGGAATCGAACCTGGGACCTTTCAGTCCGCAGGCCGACGCTCTATCCACTGAGCCAAACCGGTTTCGGTGTAAAATTTCTTACTAAATGTTTAGGTTTGTTTGTTGGAAGAATATGAAGATTATATCACTTGCCGAAACCGGTTTTGCTCAGTGGATAGAGCGTCGGCCTGCGGACTGAAAGGTCCCGGGTTCGATTCCGGTCAAGGGCATGTACCTGGGTTGCGGGCATATCCCCGGTGGGAGATGTGCAGGAGGCAGCTGATCGATGTTTCTCTCTCATCGATGTTTCTAACTCTCTATCTCTCTCCCTTCCTCTCTGTAAAAAATCAATAAAATATATTAAAAAAAAAAAAGATTATATCACGTTATAAATCAAATTTTTAATAGGTTTTTATGCCAACCTTCATAAACCATGGGAAAATTCCAATTTGTGAATATTTTTCTTTTGTATTGGCTTATTGATCATAAACCCAGTGCACTATATGCAGACCCCCCCCCCAAAAAAAAAAAAAATCTGATATGCATGACCACTTAACTTTGTGTCACTAGTCAGCTTCCTAAGAGGAACTCAGTTTGAGACTTGAGCTCTATATTGCCTTGTAAACACCTGATTTAACTAAAGCCTTTCACTATTTGTTTTAAGCTTGTGCTTGAATTTTTAGTCACTTTCTTTTCTTGGTTAAATTGTACTGTGCTACAGATTTTAAAATTTTGATAGATGTCAAAGCATCAGCTGATGAGGTAGTAACAGTGCCTTGTGTATTTTTCTTATCCGTTATAATGAAAAGCTTATGACATTTTTGGAGGGGAGGGGAATGGTTAATATTTAAAGAATTATTAAGGTAATAGGCCATCAGGGAAATATATTCACCCTCAAATTATTCTTTGATAGCCTTCTCATTGCTCCAGTAATTCCTATTCTGTGTTAGTAGTAAAATCAGAAATGAACACTATATCGCAAATCCTATAAAGCAGAGGTGGGGAACATCGGGCCTGCAGGCCAAATACGGCCCACAAAATCATTTGGTCTGGCCCTGTGAAGGTATTAGGGGTGAGTTAATTAAATGTTTGACCAAAGATAGCAGGGTAATTTTTTAAGTTGATAATTTTGTATGTCTCTCAAATGATGTTATAAATATCCAGATAGCCCTTGGCAGAAAAAAGGTTCCTCACCCCTGCTCTAAAGGAAGATGCTGAATTATTTTCTTTCTAAAAATGACCCCGTTTGTAGCACATTAACTTCTTATAGCCAGATGACAAAGGGCATTCTGAATTTGCTGATTAAAAAAGCCATGTTCGTCCAGCCAGTGTACTCAGTGGTTGAGCATCAAACCAAGAGGTCACTGTTTTTTTTTTTTTTTTTGTTTTAATATATTTTATTGATTCTCTACAGAGAGGAAGGGAGAGAGATAGAGAGCTAGAAACATCGATGAGAGAGAAACATCGATCAGCTGCCTCCTGCACATCTCCCACTGGGGATATGCCCGCAACCCAGGTACATGCCCTTGACTGGAATCGAACCCGGGACCCCTCAGTCCGCAGGCCGACGCTCTATCCACTGAGCCAAACCGGTTTCGGCGAGGTCACTGTTTTGATTCCCAGTCAGGGCACATGCCTGCATTTTGGGCTTGATCCCAGTTGGGGGCATTCAGGAAGCAGCTGATTGGTGATGTTTCTATCTCATCCATGTTTCCATCTATTCCCCTCCCTTCTCTCTAAAAATCAATAAAAACGTATTTTTTAAAAAGCCGTGTTAACAGGTAGTCTATAAATTCATAACCTAGAGAAACATAATGTATGTGACTCATGAAAAACCAAGCTGCTGAGTCTCTAAATTTTTTATTTTTGTGAGTTTGAAGTATTGTAATTTTGAAGTTTTAAAAATTGTTGAATTTCAGCTTCTGATAGAGCAAACTTTTTAAGTAGAGGTATTTAGAAACGATAAATATGAACCCAGGGTCACAATTTTAATTTAAACTGATATTAAAGTGGGGGGGGAGTGAGTGGAGGTGGAATAGGACAGAGGGGATAAATGGTGATGGGGAATATGTTTTTAAAAAAAGAATTTAAAAGACCTTATATTAAAGAGTTAACATAGAAACAAAAGCAGGGTTAATATAACAACTTGAAGATTCAGTGAAAAGTGGAATTTAGAAGTCCACTTTTCACTGGTCCTTGCAGTAGTCTGTGTCTGTAAGGACTTGAGACCGAAATTGGATACTTAATCCACTTTATATCTGGTGGCTGAATGTGAAGAAAGTATCATCCATAAGTACCATAAATGTACAAATCTCCAATTCTCAGTCTTGATCTTTTTAAAGATTTATTTATGCCCTCTGATGCCAATGGGAAGTATTTGTTTTGTTTTTAATCTTGTTTCCTACTGCAAACCATTCTGTCTCATCTTTTTGAGGTGGGTAACCCCACTACTGTTTATTTACTACACAACAGCTATTCTCATTACTGTCTTGTTACCTCTAAAGGAAAGAACTTTTTCATAGTAATGCTTCAGTTAACCTGTCCAGTAGCTGCCCTTAAAATTTCTACCTAGCCCTAGCTAGTTTGGCTCGGTGGATAAGAGCGTCAGCCTCCGGACTGAAGGGTCCCAGGTTTGATTCTGGCCAAGGGCACATGCCTAGGTTGCGAGCTCGATCCCCAGTAGGGGGCGTGCAGGAGGCCGCCGATCAGCGATTCTCTCTCATCATTGATGTTTCTATCTCTCTATCTCTCTCCCTTCCTCTCTAAAAATCAATAAAAAAATATTTTTAAAAAAGTTAAAAAGAATGTCTACCCAAATATCGGGCTCCTTAAAGATTATTCAGAATTTGGGCTGTCTTAGGGTCAGTGAGTACCTAATAAAAATTGAAAGCTTAATTCTGTTTTCCGTGTGTGTGTGTGTGTGTGTGTGTGTGTGTGTGTGTGTGTGTGTGTGTGTTCCAAGGAATGTTGTTATTTGGTGAACATGAACACATAAAACATGGCTAAGAATACAGGTGCAGAAATGTAAAGGGACCTCATGTGGAGGTTGCTGTTAATTTTAATTACATGTGCTCTGAGTACAAGCTTTGGATTTGTCAGTCGTAGGGTGCACTTGCTGGAGTCTTTATTAGAGAACCTTCAATAGCAGTATTGTTGTCTTATTTCTTGAGCTAGTTAGATTTCCCAAAGAAGAGTCTTCAAATCTCCTGCTTAGAGCTTATAAACTGGGCTCCCAGCAGTCTGGTAGCTAAATTGG